GCCATTAGATGCTCCACCAGTTTTGAGATGCAATTCATGTCCCAGATTATGCCTTTGCTAAGAAAGTGATGTTGAAGAGATTGTTCATATATCATGTCTAACTCATGCTGTTTTTTGTTTTTATTTTTATTTTGCTAGAAACTAGTTAATCTCTTTTATGTGAAAGGGGGATTGTACTATTTCTCAACCTACCATCTAGATTATGAATAAGGAAGTTAGAAACTGGGTAGTGGTCCTGAGATGCATTGTATAGTGTGAAGTCATTTAATACGGAAATGACTAAATCAGTAATTTGATTTAGTAAAGTTAATACAGTCTTGTGCAGTTTCCATTTTTCCAACGCACTGTTGTAGTTTAAATTTTACATGTGATTCTTCAGGAAAATTGTCTAGACGTGGCCAGCTGATGCCTCTAAATCACAGATTGACTAAGTCCGTATTTGTAATAACATCCCCTGCTTTGTAACAAGCTGTGTGACATTCTATTGGAGAAACAGGCTCTTTCATGCAGGCAAACTAAATTACTGACAATCTGTTGAAACATGTTTTGTGTCATTCTTATATAGAAGTATTGTCAGACAGCTGATAAAATGTAGTGTCTAGTAACTTGTGCTAAATTGCTTGGACAACATATGTTTTAGCTGACCCACCTGGGCAGCAAGCATCAAAGATCTGCTGCCCTTTCCCCGCTTCCGAGCTGGCCCAATTCTATTCTGTTGTGTTTCCTTTGTGCAAAACCAGGACATATCTACTGAAGATGGTGATAGATTGTATTCCTTATGCAAAACAGTGATGGATGAAGGACCCCAAGTATTTGCACCTTTATCTGAAGAAAGCAAGAACAAGAAATATCAAGAAGAGGTTCCAGTCTATGTGCCAAAATGGATGCCATTCAAGGAATTGATGATGATGCTACAAGCCAGCTTGCAAGAAATTGGGGATCGGTATGTGTAACCCTTCTACAGAGGCATGTAACTCTCGATAGCTACAAAAGAATAATAGTGCCCTTGGTAGCACAGTTTTTCCCTGTTTCTTCGTGTTACTCATGAAAAACTTTAATATTGAGTAGCAGTAGCTGGGGCCTTTTCATGATCTATAGTAGTGCAGATCTTATTACCACTTTCCCATGTTTTATAACAGAAAGACTTCTCATCCATATTATTTTGGTCTTGAATATGTGGTTTTGGCATGCTGTGTGAATGATCTGGCAACTGTAAGAATTATAACCTTCTGACATCTGATGGAAAATTGAAAATTGTTGCTCACTTTAAGCAACAGTGTATGCTTTTTGCTTTTTTTTTTTTTTTGAGACATGGTCTCACTCTGTCACCCAGATTGGAGTGCAGTGGCTCAATCATTGCTCATTCCAGCCTCAAATTTGTGAGCTCAAGGTATCCTCCTGCCTCAGCCTCCTGCATACCTGGGATTTTAGGTGCCTACCACCACACCTGGCTATCTGATTTCATTTTAGAGACAGAGTCCCTCTCTGTCATCTAGACTGGAGTGCAGTGGTGCCATCTCGGCTCACTGTAACCTCTGCCTCCTGGGTTCAAGCGATTCTTGTGCCTCAGCCTCCTGAGTAGCTGGGACTACAGGCGCATGCCACCACATTAGTGGCATGGATTTTCACTATGTTGGCCAGGCTGGTCTTGAACGCCTGACCTCAAGTGATCCGCCCCGCCTCAGCCTCCCAAAGTGCTGGGATTATAGGCATGAGCCCCTGCACCTAGCCTGGATGCATTTTGGGTGCAGTGGCTCACACCTATAATCCCAGCACTTTGGGAGGCCTAGGCAGATGGATCACGAGGTCAGGAGATTGAGACCATCCTGGCCAATATGGTGAAACCCCGTCTCTACTAAAAGTACAAGTTAGCCAGGTGTGGTGGTGCATGCCTGTAGTCCCAGCTATTCTGGAGGCTGAGGAAGGAGAATAGCTTGAAGCCGGGAGGTAGAGGTTGCAGTAAGCCGAAATTGTGCCACTGCACTCCAGTCTGGTGACAGAGCGAGACTCTGTCTCAAAAAAAAAAAAGAAAAAGAAAAAGAAAAAGAAACCCTGGAGAAGTGACTTTTATCTATCTTAAATATTCAGCATGAAACTACTGTTTGATTGACCAGCAGTCTTTCTTCAGGGAGTGCAGTAGTTTTAGAGATTAAGCACCATAGACCTAGAAGAGATTCATTTTTTCTTAAATATAATGGATGATGTTTTCTCTCAACACAATCAGTTAATGTTGCTGTGGCCAGTAAGTGTATGCTGTATCATATCATACTGTGTGGAGGCCATTGCACAAAGCAGAATAGATATGGGTCAGTTACATATCCATGGATGCTTTTATATCGTCTTGGTAGATTATTGGTCAGTATGTATACCTTGCATAGAGGACTCTCTGTAGAGGCCCTAACGTCATCTCCATCCCATAGGTACTTGTCTGTGTGCTTTAGCTTGGTTTACTACAGATGTCTGGTTATATTAGACCAGTCATCCTGCATGTGTCTGAGTTGTTTGCTGCAAATATTAGTCATTTACACAATGTAAACAAGATCTCCACATGGAAAAAAAGTCACATCAGAATATAATCACATTTCAAACAAAGTTTAGATTTATTCATTTATTATTTACAAGTCTTAGTGAGTAAGAAAGATGTCTTTAAGTAATAGGCTCCAGAGGGCAGCAGATAAGAATTTTTCTTTCTGTTGTTAAAGGGCCTTCTTGCAGTCTTAAGAATGTGACTTAACGTCTTTTTACCTAGGAAAAATTTTCCGCCAGAGATTTCAGTAAATATAAGGCTAAAGTTGTAAAATATACATATAAAGGAATACAGTAGATATACTCTATATTCTCAATGTAAAGAAAGAAGAGTAAACTTCATGTACCTATTACCCAACTTAAGAAAAATAATGCCAGTATTTTGAAGACCCACGTATACCCTTCTCCAAATGCTCTCCATGAGGGGTAACCACTATCTTGACTTTTATTTATTTCCTTGCTTTTCTTTATAGTTTTACCACATTTAGATGTATTCCTAAATAATGTAAAGTTTAAACTTGCCTTTTTTTGAACTTGGTGTAAGTGAAATCATCTTTAAGTTGCTTGTTTTCTTCAATATTGTTTTGGAAATCTATTCTTTTTTTTTTTTTGAGACACCCAGGCTGAAGTGCAGTGGTGTGATATTGGCTCACTCCAATCTCTGCTTCCCTGGCTCCAGCAATTCTCCTGCCTCAGCCTCCCGAGTAGCTGGGATTAAAGGTGCCTGTCACCACACCGGGATATTTTTTGTATTTTCAGTAGAGACAGGGTTTCACCATGTTTGCTAGGCTGGTCTTGAACTCCTGACCTTATGTGATCTGCCTGCCTTGGCCTCCCAAAATCCTGGGATTACAGGCATGAGCCACCGTGCCTGGCCTGAAATCCATTCTTGATGGTATGTGTAGCTGATGGTAGGTATATGACCATCACACAAGACTTACTGACTGGTCATCTTCATCATAACACTACCTGATAATTTCTCAGAATTCTTAGCATCCTAGGACTTTTGTTAAGTATACATTTTTAGCACTTTTTGTTTATTTTCACCACTGTGTCATTCCATTGTACAAATATTTCATGGTTTATTTGTCCTGTTTAGTCTCATTTTCACCAGTATTTCAGACTTGAAAATTTCTGCTAATCTAATTGGCATGCAGTGATAGGTCATTGTCATTTTAATTTGTATTTCCCTAAATTCTAATGATGTTGAGCGTCTTTTCACTGGTCATTCATGTTTCTTCTATTATGAAACACCTGTTCATATTTTTTTGCCGTTTATTTTAATAAGTTGTTTGTGGTTTCACTATTGATTCATGGGATTTCTTTATATATTTTTATACTAGCCCTTCATCAGTTAAAATTTGTTGCCTGTGGCGTACTCTGTAATACAGTTACAGAGCCTAAGGCATGAGAGTATGGTCATAATTATTAGTTCAAAGAGGGCTCGATATAGAATAAGGGAGAACAGTCTCATATTCCTCACTTAGTTTCTTTATCTGGCTGTGCTGATAGCAGCTGTAGCGAGTGAGCAAAGAGGTCAAAGACATTGAGGGGTAGTTCTATAAAGACAAGGAAGGATGCCCAGGATTTGTTTTCTTTCCATGTCAAGCAAATAAGCATGTGGATCAAATAGGCAATTCTTAAGTCTTGCTTATACTTCAGAGACCTAATAGGAAATGGAACTCTATCTTTTGTTTTGCAGGTGGGCAGATGGAAAAGGACCCCTGGCAGCTGCGTTCTCTTCCAGCGAAGTAAAAGCTTTAATTCGTGCCTTGTTTCAGAACACAGAAAGAAGAGCAGCTGCCCTTGCTAAAATTAAATAGCTCTGTCTTCTTAAGAAAGCTATGTCTTGAATATGTGGATTCTTCCCTTGGCATAATTACTCCCTTCAAGACTTCTTTGAAATGCCCATTGGTTTTGGTGAACCAGTATATCACGGAAGTTTGACTTTACAGAAGAATATCTTACCACCTGGCCTGTACAAGGCTTTGTTTAAGAACTGTATATTAAGATAAATCGTCAAGTAAAGCACCTCAATGCATTGACTTTCTAGCCATCTTCCTTTGATTACCTAACAAACTGTCAGGCAGCATTATTTCATGTTGCTTCCAGAACCCTCTGGGAACTATATACATTGTAAATGTAGGCCTGGGCTTTGGAACAAGGAAATGTGGGGATTCCAGGAGTCAGGGTAGAGAATTTCTGAGCAAATGGGAGCTATTTTGAGGGTGTGGGTGGAGGGGAAGGGAGGAGTGGGGCACCATATTTGTCCTTGCAGGAATTAAGGAGACTTCCTGTAATTTTTCTTTCCAATAATGAATGCTTTTTACAGTTAAGGGTGTCTTTCATAACATGGGAGCTTTGACAAAAGAGACCAAGATGTCTTACGTTCTATGCCATTCTTTTTATTGAAGTTTATGACCAGCACACAAGACTTACTGACTGGTCATCTTCATCATAACACTACCTGAAAATTTCTCAGAATTCTTAGGATCCTAGGACTTTTGTTAAGCATACATTTTTAGCACTTTTTGCTATTTCAACTAAATTTTATTTTCTTGGTTGGACTTTCCTGCCTTCTCAACACTGTTTATCTTGTCAATTGGCAGAGGTTTTAAATTGCCAATGTTTCTTTGGAATGCATGTGCCATGACATGCTAACTCTGGTCTCTAGAGCCTAATCCTTTATTTGGTGGACATAGGTAATCCTTCATCTCAGCTTTTTGTGTTTTTAACTCTTTGCAGCCATTGGAGGAATGTGTTATGTTAAGGTTATCCTGGACCTGTCTAGGACTTTGGATTATATCTCTTCATACTAAAATATAGTCTCCTGTCCTGAAAAGAGGGTAAGGAGTATGACCTTTAGGTTCTTTTAAGGCAGGTACTGTCTGAAGAAAGTTGCTAATATAAACCTGGCCAGCATAGTGAAGTCCCACCTCTACTAAAAATATAAAAATTAGCGGGCATGGTGGTGGGCACCTGTAGTCCCAGCCAATCGGGAGGCTCAGGCAGGAGAATTGCTTGAACCCGAGAGGTGGGGGTTGCAGTGAGCCGAGATTGCACCACTGCACTCCAGCCTGGGCAACAGAGTGAGACTCTCTCTCCCCCCACCCTAACAAACAAATAAATAAATAGCTAATCCAGTGGGTGTGCTTCCTTAGTCTTCAGCCTTGCAGATGAGATGGTCCTCCATTTCCTTGCAGACGTGGAACAAACTGATTTTCCTCCTGCCCTTACCCTTTCTCTTAGTTCTGGCTTGGCCCCTTTAATCATGTCATTCTGGTTGCCTAGTCTTTCTTTTTCCTATTTAAGGGTCATACAAGAACTATTAAGAAAGAAGACTGGTTTTCTTTTTGTAAAAGAATTCAGCTGTGGTTAGCAACAAGCTATTTATCTACATTCCACATGTCCTACTATGGGAATGCAGAAAAGAATTGCCTGAATCAGCTTTGTTTTTTTGGAGAACAAAGAAGTTGGCTTTCTAAGAGGAGGAAGGGCCCATTTTCACAGGTGAAGAAAATACCCATTTTGAAAATTCATGTAATTTCAGGTAGCATTACTTTTCTCAGCAATTGAGAGAATGGGGAACTAAGGGTAGAACTGAAATAAATGCATCACAGGGCTATTACACAGAACAGCCTATTTCTTTTCTTCATAGAAGCTATTCCTGTTGCTTGACAGTTACAGCAATTTGGAGGTAGGATCTCTTGTAACTGAGAAGCATGATTTTCACTCCTTTTTTCACAGGAACGGAAAACTGCATTGCAGCTCTTCTAGCCTATGTAGATTCAGTCCCTTGGGACTGTTTCACCTAATGAATAGTTTATATTAGGTTGGTGCAAAAGTAATTGCAATTTTTGCCATTAAAAGTAATATGGCACATAGAGTAGGCAGACTCTATCCTCCTCCCTGGTCAAGGCAATTGATAACTGATGATTAAGTGCATGTTCATTCTGGTTAGGGATAGATCATCTGGTGGAGCATGTGGAGGTGGGCCAAGAAGAAACCCCCTTCCTAAAGAGCAGATAGAACTATACAAATGACTTTGAGTGATGAAATTCAAGAAAGTTTTCCCAAAGGAAAGTTTTTATTAAAAAGGCCAGTCTGCAAACAGCCTAAATCCATGCAATTATTTGGTAATGGTTCCTATTTCTATGTGGATCCCGACCAATTTTTTGGTCAGTTCTGCAAATGCATTTCTCTCTGAAATGGAGATCCTCCAGATGGCACTCTTCCCTCAGCCTGGGAGCCCCATGAGGCATCTAGACCTTAGCTGTAGAAATGCAAGCCAGAGAACCTGACCATTTTTACCCTGAGCTTGTATTCTGACCTTGGTCAGCTCTGGAAAGGTCATCCGTATTCTGAACAGCATCTGTACTATATGCTGCAGCGCATTGCTCAGCAATCACTTGTGAGTAGATCAAACAGTATTTTCTTTCATTAATAACACTGTTAAAGGTGTTTTGGATAATCCCTTTCTCATGCTTGCAAATACTTATGCTATCACTTAAGGCAGTGATTCCCAGCTTTTTGGGGTGGGTTTTATTTTATTGTTTATCTGATTTCCCAAGATTTTGTCTGTCTTCTGAAAGCAGAGTGGTACACCCAGCTGGCTGGGTGGTGCTGCCGTACCTGCATATGGCAGTATTAGTTCTGATTCTCTTTTTAGTTTGTTTCGTTTCTAATCAACCCAAGTGCTTGGTTGTTTAATGTTCACTTTGTCAACTTGTGAGAAACTAACTTGGGATCCCTGAGAACTCAATAGATTCTTAATTTTTTGTTTTTTTATTTGGCTTTTTACTAATTTTTGCCAGCAAAGCAGTAAGAAGGACAGAATAGTTTATTTAGGAGGAGAAGCAGACCTATTTAATAGCATTTTTTTTCTTTGTTTAAATAAAGACAAAGTTATGGTCTCATTGAGAGACAATGTTATTCTTCCAATGAAGCAAAGATAGCAATCACCTTCTTTTTAAATTTGCAATGAAGTTTGCTTCAAGGTATAAGAAAAGGGCTCCTGAGAAGCCCTTATTCTTAGTTCTCTGTTTTTGAAAAATCTAATCTTGGGAGAGATTGGTAGGAGCTGTGGGCGGAATATGTGGGGATCCAAAAGGGAAGGGGAAAAAAGGCACAGAGGAGCTTGTTCTGATCCTTTGTAGGATTATTGCTGTGGCCACCTGCTCTACAGGACTTAGATAAGAAGACAGGTGAAAGAGGCAGTGTTAGGGGGGTGAAGTGGGCTGTGGGGTTGTGCTGGCTGGGTTTTCATACCTAAGTTGACATTTACTTAGCTCTGTGACCTTTGGCCAGTTACATATTCTCTGTCAAGACTGAGAATCTTCATTTGTAAAGTGAGGATAATATGACTCAGAATGTGAGCTGATTAAGTGTGGTAATCTATGTAAAACATACAGCACAGGGTAGGGATCATAAAAGTCAACTCTGTTCAGCACTTCAAGCTCAGCACACACAATGTAGAATTTAATAACATAGGCAGTTCTCCAGCTAAATTGGAGCTCCTTGGAAGGCAGGAATAGCATCTAATGCTTCTCTTTTTGTAGAGCTGGGCAAAGAAGCTTAATAAATATGGAATAATTTGAGGTCAGCTCCATGCAATGTGTGGCCATGCAGCCTGAATCAAGAGAAAAGGATGAGGGTCTCTGGCGTGAGCTGGGGTATCCTTGAAAGTAACCCATGAGTGCTCCAACCTGAGAAAGATTTGACTTTGAGTCCCCGGAGAACTTCCCTTGGCTATATGGATATTTGTATTTACATATCTATTTAAAACCCTGCTTTTAAAAAAAAAAAAAAAGAATTCATACCACCAGTAGGTACAAATCACTTCCAGTTCTTATGAGAACACTTCAGCAATAATTGAGGCCCTGACAGTGTCCCCCAAACACTGCCAAATTCTGCAAGACTGTTAAAAGAACCAAGTAAAGCTCCAGCCATCCCGGCGCTCTTGGCATTCGGTGTATTTGATTTACATTCTAATTCTTTAAAAGTTAAGCTTCAGTTTCGATAGGATAACTTTTAAGTGGAGTGGGCAGTTAACCAAAGTAGTCATTTTCCCACAATTCTGGACAAATAGGGCTTTATTGTCATTGGAGGTATTTCCATTTGGTTTTATTAGGATTATTATTTTTTAGTGCAGATAGGAGGGTTTAAGTAACATTTTTTTTTAAACCAGGCAGTGCAAAAAAGACAGAAGTGCAGTTTTTGTCTCAAAGTCTATATGGCTGTTTACAAGAGTGAGCATGAGAATGAGGTGGTGAGAGGCAGGCCCTGAGGGCTGCTGAATGGACCATCCCCTCCTGGCCCAAGTTTGGCAGGAGAACGGAGAAGAGGGACTTCTGAGCATAAAACTGAAGTCTCCAGTCAGAGAGACAGAGCAAGTGATAAATTAAGTGGAGCAGAAAGAACGGAGAATGGAAGCATTCATCATAACGTGCAGATCCGCTAGAGGGCATGGCAGCCTCAGGCCAGTGTGCGTTTGTAGTTATTTTACAAACGTGACTCATGCTCCTTATTGTCAGTATTAGGTAGGTGGTCAGAATTTGCAATGGTGACCGTGCCTGGTAGTGACGGGCCCGTGTGGGACCTGGATCTACATAAGCCAAAGACTATAGGTTTTCACATTTAATTCTAAGAGCAAACCTTTGAGGAAAATGTTATCCCTATTTTACAGATGAGAAATCAAGGCACAGAGAGGTTAGGTGTCTTGACTGAGGACACATTGTGAATAATAGCAAGATCAGGGTCTCAACCCAGGTTTGTTTGCTTCTAGAACTAATGCTGTTTTCATCATTCTCACAAAAAGTCCTCCTTATCCAGGGCTTTTTCTGCCTCTTGTATATCTCCAGATGTTGGTTCACTAGGCTCCTATAACAAAATACCATAATGTGGGTGGCATAAATTGCAGAAATGTTTTGTCTTACAGTTCTGGAGACTACAAGTTGAAAACAAGGACTCTGAAGGGTGGTTTCCTTGTGAGGGCCCAAAGGGAAGGCTCTGCTTCTCCGCAGTCAAATGCTCTGCCACTGAGCTATACTCCCTCTGCCAATGTTCATCTCTGCGTGACTGTTCATGTGACCTTCCCCCTGTATTTCTGTGTCCAGATTTCCCCTTGTTATGAGAATACCAGTCACATTGGATTTGGGCCCATCCCCATGACTTTTTTAAGAACTTGATTACCTCTGTAAAGTCCCCTACCTCCGAATAAGGTCACATTCTGAAATATTGGCTTGAGAACATTGACATATGAATTTTGAGGGGTCACAATTCAACCCATAATACCAAATAAATCTCCTATAGGTCACACACCCTGGCTGCTGTGCTTTAGACACTGTGTTTACATTGAAAAGACTTTTCGCATGGCCCCTTATTGTTTTTGTCCATGTTGTTTAATCTGTGAACTAACAGCCTTGAATATAGTCACCTTCAAAGTGGGCCTGCTCACTGGAGTGAGCGTCAGGTCAATAAAGCATTCAGTGGGCTCTAATTTAATTAGCCAAGTTACTGTGGCAGCTGCCTTGTAACTGTGATTCACAGACGGGCAGAGAACAGAGACGGGACTGGCAGAGTTCACTGTTGATTCCAGGCATTGCTGAGGCAGCTCCAGGCCCTAGGAACTTTGCTCTTGTTCTGGCAGGAGAACAGGGAAGCTGAAGGGGCATTTAGGATTTTCTGTCCTGGATGTGTCTTTTGAAATTAAGTGGAAAATAGAGTAAAATTCAAGGCCCTGCAGCTTCAGTCCCCTCTTTCCTCATCTTGCCATGTATCACCTCAGCTCTCTTGTAATTTAAAAAGAGTCCTGAAAATTTCCTTCACTACAAACCATGGCCTGTACACTAGATTTGTCAGCTGCTTCCATCTCACCCATCCAAGCTGGCAGGGTTCCTTCAACCTCTCCCTGCCTCCTGCTTCTAAAACCCAGTCCTAAACTCACCTCTCAGTCCCAGGAGCATTGACTTTATCAATCTTTCTCTGTTCTTCCGATAGGAGGGGAGAGAGCTCCAGGTGTGCATTCAGAGGAACTAGATTTCATTTTTGGCTGTCACATACTGACCAGTGGCAACTTGGACAAATCATTTAGCCTCTCTGCCCTCAGTGTGGTTACTAATCAAATGGACATAGGCATCCCTGCCTTGCTTATCTCTCAGGTAGGTTGTGAACAGAGTAAACCTCAATGGAGCTGTCCCTAACACAAGCTGATGAAAAACCAAAGAAAACTGATTTTGCTTGTATTGTATTTACCACAGGACTGTGATCATTTTGTTGTCTGTTCTGCATGTATGTGTCTGAGTCAGACTGAATTCCAGGAGCACAGAGCACTTTTTACAAGGTCCAGCCTTCACGGTATGTAAACAGGCATAGAAGACTTGGGATGATTGATGAAAGCCAGTCTTGGAGAATAAAGAAAAGACCAGTGGGTGAAAAGGGGGGTATCAAAGAAGATTACACATGGAGTGACTTATTTTATGTAAATCACAAAGGGTTTACACTTATGGCAGTCATTAGACATTGATTTAAAGTATTAGATAGCTATTATTTACCAAGAGCAGATGTTCAGGAATTTTTTTTAATCAACAGCATGATTAATTCTTTTTTGCTGCTCCTTTGTGTCTTAATTAAAGCAGATGAAAAATGTCTTGTGTGTTTGATATTGACACCACTGACTGTGGGGATTTGTTCTCATAGGCCATATGCAGCTGAGTATTTTATAAGCTTAAGTCTTTAAATATAAACATGAAAGGCGCCCAGCGTAAATGGTTTTTAAACAAAGTAAAAAAATGCTTTACAAAATGAGCAATTGTGGGGGGGGCATTTTAATTTATAGTATGTAAATTATAAACTTCATATTTTATCTCTGAGCTAGAAAAATAGTCTAGAAACAATGGATGGTTCTTTGTAGGCTTAGAAATAATTTCCTAGAATACAACTTGGGTCATTTTTTGTCTGAATATTGTAACAAGGGAAGCCTTGTGATCCCTTTTCTCCTGGGAATGCACGCTCCCACGTGGGAGGAGAAAGCTGCTTTCCCATTTCTCCCACTCTTTGTTGCTGCCATGGTGGCTGGTGCAAAGACTGCAGTGCAGGGACAGAATGGGGCTTTTTTGTTGTTGTGTTTTAATTTGAGAATTATGATGTACCATTTACACACCTAGGAAAGTGCTAGGAATAAAGATACCTAAACAAACAGAAGCCATTAATTCTGGATTTCGGGCATGAGAGGAGAGGTTTTGGGATGGGTTGGTGTTTGAGCTGTATCTTGAAGTACCAGTAATTTTCTAATTAGGGAAACATGAGGGAAGGACATTCTAGACTGAGAGCACAGCCTAAGCAAAGGCATGGAGGTGGGAGTGGGTGTTCGACTTGAGGAATTTTCTAGAGTTTTTTTGTAGTTTGGAACATTGAGTACAGGGAAGAAAGAATGCAATGAAACATGAGGCCAAGAAGGTAAGTTTGGGATTGGGTCATGAATGCACTGGATAATTAGCCTGAAGAATTTGAATTTGATCCTGCCAGCAATGGGGAAATCAGTGAAGGCTTATGTAAGGAGTAGAGTGGGCTGCTCTGACCTGTTTAGGAAGAAAACTTGGTAGCTACATGGGGGATGGGTGGGTGATGGGGAGAGAAGGGAGGCAGGGAGATTGTTGGCTATGGGGTGAGGGGTTGGGGATGGAACTTTCTTGAATGTGCAGGAAGGGAGAGGGGAGGAAATGTAAAACTGACTGGCATCTGCACATGTTGATTGATTCAACAAACCTTTACGGAACACTTGCCGCATGGCAGGCACTGTGTGCAGTTGAGGTTACAAAGAGAAAGAGGACAGGATGTCCATTCTTGAGAACTTACCACTGACTGAGTGAAACACAGTTAACGCTCACCACATCTCATGATATGGTGCATGCTTTTCCAGAGGGGGCTATGCAGTGTGTGGGTTGCCTCAGGCACTGGGGAAGGTAGAGGGACATTTTACCTGGGTCTTAAAGGATGGTGGTGAGTTGATTATATCTTTAGGTTGCTTATTAAAAATGGTTGCCATTGCTCTGGGGACAAAGACTGATCCTTACTTCGTGACTAAAGCCCCTGGTTATTCTGACTGATTCATTGCGCCAGCCTCTGCTCCACCATCTCCTCTTTGCTGTCCTGCTCTGCTTCTTCCAGTCCCTTGGAAGCACCACCCTCTCCTGACACCGAAAATTTGCCTTTGTATCTGTCTTCCATAGCACTTTATCGAAGTCATAAATTTGCATTTATATGGTCCTTTGTTTCATGAATGTCTCTGCTCACCAATGTGACTTCAGTGTTGCACAGTGCCTCTAACATAGTATGTTCTCAATAAATAGATATTGACCGACTGCTGGAGTAGGATTACCATTAATCTTTTCAAAGAAGCAGCTTTTTGTTTCATTTATCTATCTTTTGTATTTTTTTATTTCAATTTTATTTAGTTCTGCACTGATCTTTGTTATTTATTTTCTTCTGCTGGGTTTGTGTTTGATTTGTTCTTGTTTCTCTAGTACCTTGAGATGTGACCTTAGATTGTCTATTTCTACTCTTTCAAACTTTTTGATGTAGGCATTTAATGCTATGGATTTTCCTCTTAGCACTGTTTTTGCTGTATCTGAGAGGTTTTGATAGGTTGTGTCATAATTATTGTTCAGTTCAAAGAATTTTTTAATTTCCGTCTTGATTTAATTGGACAAAGATCAGTGCAGAATTAAATAAAATTGAAATAAAAAAATACAAAAGATAGATAAATGAAACAAAAAGCTGCTTCTTTGAAAAGATAAACAGAAGTGATAGACCATTGGTGAGATTAACCAAGAAAAGAAGAGAGAAGATCTAAATAAGGTCAACTAGAAACAAAATGGGAGATATTACAACTGATACCACAGAAATACAAAAGATTGTTCAAGGCTCCTATGAACACCTTTACACACAAAAACTAGAAAATCTAGAAGAGGTGGATAAATTCCTGGAAATATACAACCTTCCTAGATTAAATCAGGAAGAAATAGAAACTCTGAACAGAACAATAGCAAGTAGCAAGACTTTTGGTCAGAGAACATACTTTGCCTAATTTTAATTATTTTGTTTATACTTGTTTTATGTCCCATAATATGGTCATTCATGAAGAATATTTTATATGTGCTCAAGAAGAAAGTATATTCTAGTGTCGTCGCATGGAGTGTTTTACTATAGATGTCTATTAGGTCTAGTTGGTTTATAGTGTCCTTCAAGTCTTTTATTTCCTTCATGACTTTCTGTCTAGTTGTTCTATCCATTCTTGTGGGTATTGAAGTATCCAAGTATTGTTGAGTTGTCTGTTTTTCCTCTGACAGTTTCTGCTTTATGAATTTTGGGGCTCTGTCAGGTGCAGGTGTATATGTTTATAATTATTATAACTTCTTGATGAATTGACTCTTTTTTTTTTTTTTTTTTTTTTTTTTAACAAGATGGAGTCTAGCTCTGTTGCCCATGATGGAGTGTAGTGGCACAATCTCAGCTCACTGCAAACTCCGCCTTTTGGATTCAAGCAATTCTCTCACCTCAGCCTCCTGAGTAGCTGGGATTACAGGTACATGCCACCACGCCTAGCTGACTATTGTATATTTAGTAGAAAAGAGGTTTCACCATATTGGCCACGCTGGTCTTGAACTCCTGACCTCAAGTGATCTGCCTGCTTCAGCCCTCCAAAGTGCTGGGATTACAGGTGTGAGCCAATGTGCCTGGCAGGATTAACTCTTTTATCATAATAAAATGTCCTACTTTGTCTCTCATAATGATTTTGGTCTTAAAATGTATTTTGTCTGATATTAGTTATAATATCAGTTATTCTAGTTCTCTTTTGATTTCTGTGTACATGGAATGTGTTTTTCCATCTTTTTACCTTCAATGTATTTTGTCTTTAAACCTAAAATGTGTCTTTTATACATAGCATATAGCTTGATCATGGCTTTAAAAATTCATTCTGCCAACTCTACCTTTTAATTGGAGAGTTTCATCCATTTACATTTAGTATAACTACTGATAAGGTAGAATTTATGTCTATTATTTTTCTATTTTTTTTTACCCAGCAAATATTTTATTAAGAATCCACTGTGTGTCAGACACCATGCTAAAAACATCAGGATTAAAATGGAGTCTAAAACCTAGTCCTTGCCCTATAAAATATTCTATATATATATATATATATATATATTTTTTTTTTATTGCATTTTAGGTTCTGGGATACATATGCAGAAGATGCAGGATTGTTGCATAGGTACATACATGGCAATGTCATTTGCTGCCTCCATCCCTCCGTCATCTATATCTGGCATTTCTCCCCATGTTATCCCTCCCCAACCTCTCTACCCCCTGCTGTCCCTCCCCATTCCCCCACAACAGACCCGTGTGTGATGCACCCCTCCCTGTGTCCATGTGTTCTCATTGTTCAACACCTGCCTATTAGTGAGAACATACAGTGTTTGATTTTCTGTTCTTGTGTCAGTTTGCTGAGAATGATGGTTTCCAGATTCATCCATGTCCCTACAAAGGACATGAACTCATCATTTTTTATGGCTGCATAGTAGTATTCCATGGTGTGTATGTGCCACATTTTCCTTGTCCAGTCTATCGTCAATGGGCATCTGGGTTGGTTCCAGGTCTTTGCTATTGCAAACAGTACTGCTATGAACATACGTGTGCATGTGTCTTTATAACACAATGATTTATAATCCTTTGGATATATACCCAGTAATAGGATTGCTGGATCAAATGGAATTTCTGTTTCTAGATCCTCGAGGAATTGCCACACTGTCTTCTGCAATGGTTGAACTAATTTACACTCCCATCAACAGTGTAATGTGTTCCTATTTCTCCATATCCTCTCCAGCATCTGTTGTCTCCAGAATTTTTTAATGATCACCATTCTAGCTGGTGTGAGACGGTATCTCAATGTGATTTTTATTTGCATTTCTCTAATGACCAGTGATGATGAACATTTTTTCATATGTTTGTTGACATCATATATGTCTTCTTTTCAAAAGTGTCTGTTCATGTCCTTCACCCACTATTTTGCTGTTTTTTAGATGTCTTATATGTTTTTGTTTCATTGCTGCTTTGTGTTAAATGGTTATTTTCTAGTGTTCTATTTAAATTTCTTTGTCATCTCTTTTAAGTTTTAAAGTTATTTTCTTAGTATCCTGATAATTTCAATTAATGTTTTAAATTGTAACAATCTATTCCGATTAATACCAATTTAAATTCAATAGTATAAAAAATCTTTGCTCTTATTAGTTTATTCTCTTCTTACTTTGTGCTGTATTGTCATACAAATTGTGTATTTTTGTATTATATGGCCGTAATACAGATTTATAATTGTGGATTTATGCAATTATCTTTAAAGTTAGATGGAAGAACATAAAGAATTACAAACATACATATACATTTATACTGTCTTTTATGTTTACCTATATACTTTTTCTTACTAGCATTTTTTATTTCTTAATATAGTTCTTGGAATGTATCTCCATCATTAAGTGATGCATGACTAAAATAAAGCGAGTACTTGCGGCTGAAATAAAAAGATATAAGACAGTAACTTGAATCTATATTAAGCCTAAAGTACTCGCGTTAGTATAGTCATGCATCACTTAATGATGGAGATACATTCTGAGAACTGTTGTGTGAAATAGAGTGTACTTACACAAACCTAGATGGCATGGCCTACTACACACCTAGGCTATGTGGCATAGCCTATTGGTCTGAGGCTACAAACCTGGAGAGCATATTACCATACTGAATACAATTGTAACACAGTACTAAGTATTTATGTAACTAAACATAGAAAAGATACATTAAAAATACAGTGTAAAAGCTCCATTATAATCTTGTGGGACCACTGTTGAATATGCGGTACATTGCTGACTGTCATGTGGCACATGACTGTATTTCTTGTAGGACAGGTTTGCTAGCAATAAATTCTCTTAGTTTTTGTCTATCTGAGATTATCTTAATTTCTTTTTCACTTTTGAAGGATAGTTTTGCTGTATACAGAATTCTGGTTGACAGTCTTTTTCTTTAAGCAACTTGATATGTCGTTCTGGCTTCCATAGTTCCTGATGAGAAGCCAACTCTTAACTGGTAAACTGTTGATTGAGGATCCCTTTGTATGTGATGAGTTGCTTTCCTCATGCTGCTTCCCACTCTTTTCTGGTCTTTGGCCTTAAACAATTTCATTATGATGTATTTACATGTGGATCTCTTGATGTATCCTACTTGGAGTTTATTGAGTTTTCTTCCATGTGCAGATTAATATTTTTCATCAAATTTGAAAGTTTTTGCCATTATTTTTTCAAATATTCTTTCTGCCTTCTTCTCTCACTCTTCTCTTTCTTGCTCATTACAAACACACACACGCGCACATACACACACACACATTTTTGATGTTATCTCAAATGTCTCTGAACCTATGTTCATTTTTCTCTATTCTTTTTTCCTTTCTATCCATTAGACTATATAATACCTATTTACATATCTTTAATTCACAGATGCTTTCTTCTGCCTGTTCAAATCTGCTGTTGAGACCCTCTAGTAAATTTTTTATTTCAGTTATTAGACTACTCAACTCCAGAATTTATATTTTGTTCTTTTAAAAAATATATAATTTCTATCTCCTTATTGATATTCATTACATGATATTATTCTCATACCTTTTCTAGTTCTTTGGATATGGTTTCCTTTAGTTCTTTGAATGCATATAGAATGACTGATTTAAAGTTTCCATCTTATAAGTTTAATATATGGGCTTCCTCAGGGACAGTTTTTTATCAATTATGTTTTTCCCTGTGTGTATGTGCCTTACTTTCTTGTTTCTTTGTGTGCCTCACAATTTATTATTGAAAACTGCATTTTAAACAGTGTAATACAATACAGCAACTTTGGAAATAAGATTCTCTTCCTTCCTCCGGGTTTGCTGTTGTTGATGTTGCCTGTTTGTTTTGTGAATTTTCTGAGCTAATTCTGCAAAGTCTGTATTTTTTGTCATGTATGGCCACTGAAATCTCTGCTTAGTGTTCAACTAATAATTGAACAGACTGCCTTGATGCTTGGAACCAGTAAGTTGCTCTGCTTTTGCAGAGGGACTCTGTGTGTAGGTTGGGACATGACTTCAACAGTCAGACAGGAAATTTGACAATTCCGTCTTAGCTTTCCTGCTTGTGCAGAGCCTTAAGATTAGTCCCGGGTGAGAGCTTAGGACCTTCCTTAGGTTTTTCCTGCACATGTGCACAGCCCTGGGCATGTGCACCCTCCTATGCATACATATGGCTTTCTATATTCCCATGAATATTTCAGAGTCTTTCAAGGCCCTCTATAGATAATTTATTCCCCCAGATTTTTCTTTTAAGGTTTTTGTTTAGCCTATTTTTTTTTTTTTTTGCCTCAACTGTTATTATTGTTTTAGGCGGCCACAAAATCCAGCAATTGTCTATAGTTGTTTTCAACAAATACCTTTAAGGAAAAAGTTGTTCACTTTAGGCAAGCTTTGAGACAGGTGAAATAAAGACAGTCTTGCAAATGGGATCTTCCAGGCAACCACTTGACAGGTCAAATAATTACAACTCTTTGGGAATGAAACTTTGAAGGAACTCCAAGCCTATTCTACCCCTTCTTGTAGCTGCCAGGCTGCTGGTTTCCATGGTGATTGTGGTTTGTTGGTTTTCAAGGCTCCTGCAGAGTTGGGGTGAGGGGGATGGAATTGAAGCAAGTTAAAATGCCACAAGGTTCACCATTCTTACTAAGATTATTTTTTTCTTGAACAAAGACTTCCCAGATTGCTGTAAACTTTTGAATATTTTCCAGAGTTCTGCAAAATTTGATTCTCCTCTCTTTTTTTATCCCCATTTTTCTCATAGTTTTTAGGGAGGAGAGAATTTTCAGAGGATTTCACTCCTACCTTTTTTATTGACATTACCTGCAATATATTTTAAATACCCTTCTCTGTGATTGCTTTGTCACTTCTCAAAACTCAATTCAAATGTGTCCTCCATTGTGAAGGAGGAGAAGCCTTTCACTTGTGAAGCTGTCTTCTTTGTATCCTCAGGGCAGCTCTTCCTCTATTCTCCGGAACCTCTGGGTTTACACCTTTGTTATTTCACTTTTCATAATAACAATTACTCACATCTGTTTCTATCCCTTTTTCCAGTTTGTAAGCACCCTCTCTGTGACTTGTTCATCCCCCATGCCCAATCTAGTTTCTGACACAGAGTAGATACTCAAGTTTGTAGTCTGAAGAGTATGGTCCTAGGAGACCTCAGAGCCTAGCCAAGGGCTTCGAATTCCAGCCATCATTTTACTCCTTCTCCTTCTATAATTCACAGCTGATCTCTGTCTCTTCACTGTCTTGTATGTGCTCTGGTGTGATGATCATAAGCTCAGAGTTGACACACTGCGTGTATGATATGGTTTGGATCTGTGTCCCAATCCAAATCTCACATCAAATCATAATCCCCAATGTTAGAAATGGCCCCTGATGGGAGGTGATTTGATCATGGGGGTGGATTCTTCATGATCGAGAATCCTTCATGATTCATCATGCACTTGGTGCTATTCTCGTGATAGAGTTTTCATGAGATCTGGTTATTTAAAAGTGTGTGGCATCTCCCCACTCTCTCTCTTGCTCTTGCAAAATTTTGCCATGTTAGAGGCCTTTCTCCCCGTTTGTCTTCCACCATGATTGGAAGCTTCCTGAGGCCTCCCCAGAAGCAGGAGCCACTGTGCTTCCTTTATAGCCTGTGGAACCATGAGTCAATTAAACCTCTTTTCTCTAGAAATTATGCAGTCCCAGGTATTTATTTATAGCAGTGGAAGAACTGCTTAATACAGTGTATGAAGAAAATAGGGAGCAAAAAGTTAAATCCTGTGTGGTGATTCAACAACAATGACAATAGTAATAATAGCAGCTACTGTTTGCTGAATACAGTCTGTGCTAGACATCAGGCTATGGGCTTTATAGTCAATATCTCAATGAATTCTATATCAACCCTGGAGGTAGGTGCTACTGTCCTCATTTTACAGGTGAGGCTGAGTAAGGGAAGTGGGAGAACTGAGGTTGGATGAAGGGTCTGACTCTAAAGCCTAAATCCTTTTTTTTGAGACAAAGTCTTGCTCTTTTGCCAGGCTGGAGTGCTCTTTTTGATCATACTGGAGGCGGCATGATCATGGCTCACTGCAACCTCTACCTCCTGGGTTCAAACAATTACCCTGCCTCAGCCTCCCAAG